AAATAGAAAAAGACGCCGATTCATAAGTTGTATTGCTAACATGTCTCCTCAGCACATCTGCAATGAAATATTTCCAAATGTATCCGAAATGCATACGGTGTGAAAATGAAATAAATATTTAATAATTGCGCATTTTAATTGAATTTTTGGTCGATTGTATAAGTAGTGAAGTAGATTTTGTAAAAGCATAAAAAGAAAATCACGCGATGAATGTTCGCATTAAGGTATCATATCCGTAAAAACTCCACGAACAGATTTGCAATCCACTTTGACATAGTATCACATGATCAAATTCTTTGAAATTTCAATCGAACACTTAAGAATGAAAGCAGAAAAAAGTAGAAATAAAACGGATGAATAAAAACAATGTGGAAAGAATTTGTTGTGGTCAATATTGTGGATGGGATCGCCATAGAAATGCTGAAGCCATGAATATTGTTTAAGAATCGTTGTGGAATCGTTAAGAAATTGAGAAATTTCNCATAGAAATGCTGAAGCCATGAATATTGTTTAAGAATCGTTGTGGAATCGTTAAGAAATTGAGAAATTTCAACAGTGATTATAAATGCTATCATCATTATAATCGATACGCATACATTAGCTGTTGATGATGTGAACATTTGTACACATAAAAAGACGTGGACAAATATTCGAATCATGAACGTTTACAGATAGCAGTGTCATCGTATTATGCCATTTTATTAATCAGTTACTAGCGAGTGAGTCACTTTCGTGTGCTCAGCTGACATCAAACATTGCAATTCATCGCAAATCAACTGAGTCCCTTCCACAACGACAGTGATCGATGCAACAATAATTCTGCCGTACCTGTATATGGATATGGATGCGAATGTGCTAATGCGACATCTGTTCATCGTCACCTTGTTTATGAATCATTAATTGTGGAATGTTTAGCCAGTGATCTAAGTCAGATTCTAATCGACTGATTGGATTAATTGGATCGGGAGACTGAGAATCGCTACAATCTTTTACGATAGCAATAGCAACTCAACGACTAACTACCTTTTCCGGCTCTAGATTGCATTCGAAANACAATCTTTTACGATAGCAATAGCAACTCAACGACTAACTACCTTTTCCGGCTCTAGATTGCATTCGAAAATGTGCTATTCTTTGGCATCAACTAGCGAAATTTATCGCAAAAACAGGAACACATTATCACGGCGAAACGGAAGCAAAAGAGTTCAACTTCAGTTCAGTTTCAATCTTTAAGCGATGAAAACATTACGATGCCATTTCCTCCTCAAACCTATCCTCAAATAGCAGAATTGAAGAAAATTATCCTTTGAAAAAACAGATGTGTTCTGTTTGACCTCGCAGTTAGTAGTTGATCTACGAAATGGGACTGATTGACGACTAAATTCAAGTCTGACTGTAGGCCATTTAATCGAAAATTTAGCGATTGAAACTTTGCAGAACTTTTATTACACGTAAGGAATCATCACATTTGCAAAATTATAATTACAGCATCAGATTTCATAAGCAAAAGCAATTTTGCATGCTCAAACTCTAGGCATATGCAATAAAGCAAACTAATATGCA